AGAAAGAAAGAAAGAAAGAAAGAAAGAAAGAAAGAAAGAAAGAAAGAAAGAAAGAAAGAAAGAAAGAAAGAAAGAAAGAAAGAAAGAAAGAAAGAAACCCTGTATATTATCACTATCAATTAAAAAGCTAAAAGTTTAATAAGAAAGCTTTAATCAAATTACAGATATTAAAACCATGTATCGCAATGCAACAATCTTTGATCACAAATGTATGCACCTTCCCCTAATGTACAAAACCCTTTTGCATTTGTATACACAGGAATCTCATACAGTTGCTACATATATTAATCAGGGCAAGTAGCCCTTAATTGGTTTCTATCAGCACCTTTACAGTTTGGAGGTGGGAAGACATCCGCCAGAGAGAGAGAGAGACTGCCATGCAGTTACTGTTCAGAAACATGTCGGCTGAATTCAACGGGGGGTGTCCCAGTTAGGATCAACTCTGAAGGTGGCAGCTTAGAGCAAGAGAATCCCTGCAGTGGCAGAGTGTGCTCGGGAAAGGGGTTTGGTGTTGGAGAATCCATTCCCTAGTGCTTCGCTATCTGGGTTACATTTGCTATACGTGCAGGTGCATGATATGAGAAGCCAGTGCAACGATGCGGTCGAGGGTGTGGGACGAGTATCTGGAAGACCCAGGTTCAGATCCCCCCCCCGCGCCATGGAAGCTCTTTGGGTGACCTCGTTGGATCCACCTTCAGGAGTTGCAGCAGCCCATTCCCCCGGAGGAGTGGCAACTTCTGCCTCTTGCCAGTCCTTCCCTTCCTTGGGGGTAGTTTGTCGGGCTGCCCCCTGGAAGTCAGTCCACTCATTCACCAGGGATTGCAGGATTGACAAGGTGGCCTCGGCTGAGGCTGCTTTTGGAAGAAGGGCCCTGCGGCAGACCTTTTCCAGCTAGGAGCCGAGATTCTTTCCCTCCCGGGGGGGCATGCTGCTTTTCTGTGTCCCCCGGGGGGAGATTCCCCCAACCCGGACCCCTGGAGAACAGGAGGCTTTTCTCACTTACCGGTGATCTTCCTTCTTGGTGGTCCTGGGGTGGGCCAGTCTCTTTCTCAGTCCTCTTTCTCAGCTGGGCCTGCTACTCTGACCCTTCCTTTCCGTTCCTGCCTGGCCGAATTTGCATAGCCCTGCCTGGAGCGAGAGGAGGCGTGGCCAAGTTGGATGCCTTCCCCCAATGGGGGAGAACTGAGAAGTCCCCGACTCTTCGGCCTTTCCTCGCACGGAAGGGGCTCCAACCTCCTCGTCATCCTGGCCGCCCTCCCTCTGCACGTTTCCCAGCTCTGCAGTGTCCCTTTGGAGATCAGGTGTCTGGATTCCCAGTACACACAGGATTCCCAGTGAGGCCACGCCATAGATCCATATGGGAGCATCACAATACTGCAGCACCCTGGGAGGACACTTGGATGGAGTCTCCTAATGGAACTGTTTCCTGCCAGCCTGTCTTCAGAACGGCACGGTCTCTTCCACGTTAATGTCACCTCATGGGCTACGTCCTTCTGCCTTACGGCAGCCTGGGCCACTGCCCCACACGGCTGAATAGTGCGCTGCCAGGGCACTGTGGCCTTCACTCCCCTCCTGGAGGGCATCAGCCGCACAGAACCCGCGGCGGCCGTTGCCGTAGCTCAGTGACAGCGCCACAGGCACACGTGGGTGGGGGTGGACACAGGTTTTGTGCACTCCAATCTGAGTGACAATTATTGCTGCCTCTGACGCATCACATCTCCGTTTGTGTGTTTTCCAGTTTGCAGAGCAACGAGACGGCAAAACCCAAAGACGCTCAGAAGCTGGATCCTCGACCCCAGGAGTGGTTTACCAAATACTTCTCCTTCTGAGGAAAGCCATTTCTGTATCCATATATATGTGAATATATATGTATTCTTAAGACTGTGGAGCCCTTTCCGAGGCACGTTATGGAATACCGTAAGCCAAGAAACACAGGGGGCTGTGGAGGAAATCGGGCGAAGCCGCGGGTCAAATGCAGCCCCACGACTTCGGGTGTGAAATTGACCAATAGTATCGGGGCAAACGGCGGCACAACATCGAGGCAGCTCTAGTGCGAAATCCGCCAGAAACACTTCTGTCCCGTTCAGGAAACGTGGCTGAACCGTTTTATCTGCAAACTGCTTCCAAAGCGGTCTGCACTTTTCTATACCGTTTCTGAAGCACTACAGGGTGCTGTGTAAAATGCCTCGTAGCGCTTCCTCCGGCGCCGCTTTGTTTTCATCTGTCACATCAATCACTGATGCCCTGATTTCCTGCTAAAGCCTGCAGTCCAATGAGGTACTTGTTTCCAGGTGGCAGATGTAGCCATCTCATGTATCTCCAGTGGAGTCCAGGCATTCCAATGGGGTTGCTGTTTTGGTGTTGTGTTATAGCGCTATAGCGCCATAGCACTCTAAAATGAACGTTTTTAAAAAAAGGACGAAGATGGCCCGCGCAGGCGAAAAAGGGCGGGGAAACAAAGTGGTGCAGTCTGAAATGCCAAACCGCTTCAGAGACGGCTCCTTACCGGTAGGGGAAAGGCTGTGTGAAATGGCCGCCCCTGTACCGGTTTACTCCAAGACAGTACAGTAACGGCTTAAAAAGGGTGATGTGAAATTCCCCACAAGTTCTCTGGCCTGCAACATTTATAACTAAAGATGCGATGGGGGGGGGGGGGCCCTTTCCCTGCCCCCGTCGCGACA